AGGGGGAGGAGGAGTAGGAGTAGGAGCTTTACAAGGACAGCGGCTTCTTGCCGGGCTACCGAGTCAACGTCCACCTGACGGACTCGGGCTGTTCGGAGGCGATGGCTCTGCCATAAACCCGAGTTTGTGGCACAGCCCCAAGAACTCCACAATGTAGGTGCCTTAATTAATGACTACCTACATTGTCTATACTATGTTTTTTTTTTTTGGGGGGGGGGGGTCCGTATAATAAGTATAGTATATTGGGCCACAAAACCCTATTCCAATTATTAAGGCCCTACATTACTGATGAGGTTTTCGGAACAACAACAAGGCAAAGGCGATGGTCCCAACAACCAATTCAGCGCACTAGAGCCGAAAGGCCCCAGCAAGGCATTTGCGGGAACCCTGCCAACAAAATGAGGTGCTGGATGGCCCGGGGTGACACCTCGCCTTCTAAACCCTAAACCCTAAACCCTAAACCCTACTGTTCTTTCCGAGCCTTTCTCGGGTGCGGCACCCAGGGAGGCGAAGACCAACAAAGGCGAAGTTCTAATCTCCTGACCTCTTGGACGATGAAGACTGAGCTCACCCATGGTTCGCACGTGTGAAGCCTTGTTGCGAAAGTCGAATCCTATTCCATGAGCCCTTAACCCAAAAAAGCCTTGTGGGTACTATAATCCCTATATAGTCCCAAACGTAATCTTTTAGTGCCCCATGATACTGGACAGGTATAACCCATGCAAGCTGTGCCTCGAAGTAGAGAGCCCCGAGTGTCAGCTCTATCGGGGCCAGGCATTGGGTACCATGGCCACTGTGGAAGCCATGACGCGTGGAGCTACGATACTTGGTTAGGCTGCAAGTAGAAGCAGTCGCAGCAGTAGTTGCAGTAGCAGCAGTGGTAGTAGTAGGCGTCGGGACTCGGAGTCGTGAGAAGGAGGAGGAGTTGAAAGAGGAGTAGGAGTGGGAGTGGGACAAAAAACTCAGTATAATAAACCCCAAGAGCCTATTTCAAATTGTAAGGCCCCTACATTGGGAGTGGGACAGGGAGCAGGAGCAGCAGCAGCCGTTCAGATTTGCAACGACGAGCGGCTTTAGCATGTCAAGGGCTCATACAGATGTGACTGTTTTATCTCCCTAACCCTAAACCCTAGACTCTAGACCCTAAACCCTAAACCATGGACTCCAGACCCTAAACCCTAAACCCTAAACCCTAAAGCCTAAAGCCTAAAGCCTAAACCCTAAACCCTAAAGCCTAAAGCTTAAACCCTAAAGCCTAAAGCCTAAACCCTAAACCCTAAACCCTAAAGCCTAAACCCTAAACCCTAAAGCCTAGGCTGATGTCATGGAGGCCACAGGGTACACAGAGCCCACCTTGGCCCCCGTAGCCTGGCCCTGCACCCTAGGCAAAGACCTGCCTTTATACAGCTCGAATATTTACCTAAAGGGTTTAGGGGTTTAGGGTCTTAGGGTCATAGGGTTCGGGGGTTTAGGGTTTTAGGGTCTTAGGGTTTAGACCTCTGAGTCCGCGAGAGAGAGAGAGAGGGTTTTAGGGTTTGGGGTTTAGGGTTTAGTCTCATATTGCACATACCCATAGGCCCTAAAGTAATTCCTTTTTGGGGTTCATATATAGAATCTTGTAAGGTAATCCCAAAAAGGAACTACTATGGGGCCTATGGGTAGGGATCAGGGCTTTGGGCCTAAACCCTAAATCCTGTCTCAACCCCAAACGCAGAATATCAGGAAGCATGCCATCCTCGGGGACGCATGCAGTCAAGCGTGCGCTGCTGTCAGCGATGCGGCGCGTCTCTTCAACGTCCTACAGGCCGGCTAGTTTAAGGGGCTTGGGGAAGCTAGGCAAAAAACGACGGTTTGTGTGGACCCATCTGAATTTCAAGGGGTTAGGGTTTCAGGTTTAGGGTTTAGGTTAAACTGAAGATCTCACTTGAGCAGAGCAATGCATGATGGTCGTGGAGGTGGAGGTGGAAGCGAGCTTCACTGTAAAATTAGACTCGATGTTTGGCATGTTTTATAGTGATACGCGGTTCCAAATTGTTGCTTGCATCGACAAGCATGTGCTGATGCATGTGCGTAAGTTCATGGCGGTATGGATGCATGTGTGCCCTCTGCTTGCAGCCCATGGCAAGCCCGAACAAAGACCTTTGAACCCTAAACCCTGTGCTAGATTTTGGGTCGAAACATCGGATCTCAAACCTGCCATAGGAACCTCAGGGCCTCAAGCTGTGCGAGTCGAAACCCGTGATCCACAAGACCCTGAACTCTAAACCCGGTAAACCATGTAGGCCTTCCAAGACAAACCAAACCAAACCCCTGCCAAACCTCCAAAAAAAATAGTATGATCGTTAAAGCCTAAACCCAAGGTTTCGCCTGGCTGTGAATCCCCCAGCCTCAGCGACCGGACGCGTTACCCATACCTCACACGGATGACGCCTTCAGACCGCTTCAAGGCGGGTGCTTATTCAGGGCTTTAGGGTTCCTTACAGGGCGCCCTTATGCGCTCCCTGTTAATAAAGGTTTGTATTGCAGGCTTGTATAAGAGCGTCTTACCACATGATTGTATGAGGGTTTATATGGTTCCGGGTCGCGGCGGGCGGGCTAAGGGGCTTATGGGCCTTTGGATGGACAGATAGATCGGTCGACAGAGATATACGGATAGATAGATAGATAGATAGATGCGGGTAGGTAGGCAGGTACGTAGGTAGATAGGTAGGTAGATAGGTAGATAGTAGGAAGGAAGGAGCACGGGTGGGTAGGCAGGTCGGTCGGTAGGTAGGCAGGTAGGTAGGTAGTTAGGTAGGTAGGCAGATGATAGCTAGATCGACAGATGGATAGCCAGCTAGCTAGGTAGATAGCTAGATAGATAGGTAGGCAGACAGATAGCTCGATAGATTGCATGATAGGTAGGTAGGTAGGTAGGTAGGTAGGCAGGCAGGTAGGTAGGTAGGTAAGTAGGCAGGTGGGTGGGTGGGTAGGTAGGGTAGGTAGGTAGGTAGGTAGGTAGGTAGGTAGGTAGGTAGGTAGGTAGGTAGGTAGGTAGGTAGGTAGGTTGGTTGGTTGGTTGGTTGGTTGGTTGGTTGGTTGGTTGGTGGGTCGGTCGGTCGTAGGTCGGTCGGTAGGTCGGTAGGTAGGTCGGTAGGTAGGTCGGTAGGTGGGT